TGAGTATACTTGTTCTCGTGTTATTACCTTCCTCCCGTTCTTCGGAGGGTTCTCGAGATCGTGATTCAAGAATGTGATCAAATACACCATTACACAAATTAGATAGTAACATAACCTGTACTAACAATTAGTATTTTAGACATGCACCTTACCTGATTCGCCGCAGTGAATACTTATAATACGTTCCTCGGAGAAAGGTATAAGGTGACACAAGTTACGATACGATTTAAGGAAAACTTATGTTTAAATAAGAAAAACAACACTGATTTGAATTAGAAAAAGAAAGAAGTCCAGTAGTCGCTCGCAGTCTTGTGTGTATGTCATATGGTGGTTTTGGGAAAAAGCTCCTGCTCGCTTGTCTGGTGCGCCCGCACTCGTAATTTTTGTCGGTACTCATGCACTCGATAGTTTGGCCGGTGCTCATGCACTCGTGACTTGGCTGGCGCTCGTGCACTCGTGGCTTGGCTGGTGCTCGTGCACTGCCGGGAGAAGACCTGGTCGAGCCAGCCAGAGTCGCAGGCCATGCCATCATAAAAAAAGGACTCAGCGTTTTTTCGAAGAAATAGTCTTTCTTCTACACGACAGAGAGCTTCATTGTACCATGGCCCGCCTCCGCTGGCTAACGAAATTGGTTCACACGCTTTTCGAGATATTGTCACAACTCATGTGTCAATTCCTTTGTGATCATATAATATAAGTTGTTTTCTTTCGTCAGTGGCAAAAGGATGTTTGTAGGGTTTAATCTGCGTGCGACAACTTGACCGTTAATTTATTTAATTGAATTTTATGTATATGTAATAAACAATGATATGTTAGCATATCATTACATTACTTATTAGCATAATAAGTTGATACACGTTTTATATAAAAACAAACAATTCTAATAAACATGACTTTTTTGTTATTTTTTTACTTATAATATTAATTAAATTTCGTTAAGATCAAAATCAGTTTAAAAATAAAATTTCAAATTAAAAATAATTTCTGGGCTTTTTAATCTTGTTTGTATGGATTCGGTAATAGACCGATAAAACGCAGAGTATGATCGATCGTCCCGATTACGGCTTTATCGCATAGCCGTATAGCATCCAATATGTTTATTACAATTTCATTTCTGTCATTTATAGACGATATAATTTTTTTTACCATTTTTTTTTTCGGTAAAATATTTTAAAATTATTAATTATTTCTTGGCATAATGGTTGTAATACAGACGTATACTATTAGGAGGTAAAAACTGCACTTGAATAACATAAAAATTGAAATTAAATTGTGTGCAGTACAGCTATCAATAAAAAATAAGATTTTCCTTTTCTCGGTGGACCATTTTTTTAAATCTAATTTTGATAAACATAAATTAAACATTTCAGACGACGTCATTCAGGACTTTTTATTCGCATACTAACTGATAATGATTTTACTTGTTTAAAACATCGTGGTTTTTTCGACTTACCAATAAAAAATGGTCTTAATTTTTCTATGCCTGACATATTCGCCGCTAACAGAAGTGTTACTCTTTCTTTGTTATGTTTTTCACCTGAAAACAAGATTGGCTTTTAAATATGAATGTTTTTTCGGGTAAACATTTGAAAAATAATCCTGTTTTGTCTACATTAAAAATATCGTTTGATGAATAATTTTCGATGAGTTTCGGTAAATTATTCATCCATACAGAACATTTTTATACATCTACGGCGCCACTTTCACCACAGACTTGTATAAAAATAACATTATTTCTGATTTTCCAATTTGTTAACCATCCACTGCTGGCTTTAAAATGTCCATGCTCTAACTCATGCCCAAACTCTTCAGCTTTTTCTCGTAGAATGAGTCTATTTATTGGAATTTTTTGGTCAAGACATTATTGAAACTATTTTAGTATACAAAATTCTATATCGGAATATTCTTCTAATTTCATTTTTTTTCGAGTTGCCGAGGTTTTATTAAAATTTTTTAAAATTACATCTTTATTTTTTATTATTGTAGACAATGTACTCGCTGGAATTTCAAAATCTTTGATTATTTCTTGTTTTTTCTTTTCGCCTTTTTTAACAATTTTAAGCAACTTGACTTTTTCTACAAGTGATAATGTTGTTAATTTTCTTTTTTGAGTCATAGTAACCACTGTATTGACACACTATAAACTATCACACTCACAGTCACGATAAACGATTAGACGAACAGACGAAATAGGACAAAACTGAAATCTGTTGTATGCTTGTATGGTATTATCAAGGTTTAATTTACAAGTATTTATATGTCCTATATTTATAGTTGACTATAATGGTAGGTTTTTACAAGACGAGTCATAAACGAAAAATAATCGCCTCGATAAACTATTTTTAGTACTAAATTTGGATAAGAAAATTCGAGATGTCGAAAACTTGTCAAATTAATTTACGAGTAAACAAGATTATTTAAGCATTAAGTGTTATTGTAATTTGATTGGGAATTTTATTTATTCGAGATATCAAGAATTTCGAGTTATCAAGGTTCGAGTTACTGAGAGTCGACTGTAGTAAGAATTGCACTCCTGGAGTCGCAAGTTGCGTCAGCGCCAACATTACATACATTACCTATACTTTGTTTTGTAAATATTTTTAAATTATAAAATTTAAATATAAGTGATGAATAAACGTCAAAAATTATCCATATTGGACTTTTTTAATAAATAAAAAAAAAAAATGATCAAGGTAATCAAAACATTTAAATTTAATAATAATTATAATGATCGTTATAATAATAATAATATTTATTTTTATTTAATAAATGCCTGAACTCGGAAGGCATAAAGTATTATAATATTATAATTATAATTTATCATTTCAGTGTGAAAAAAACAAATAATATTTATTATTTACTATTTTATTAATTAATGTAGTAATATAATATTTAAGATTATAGATAACGACAATCAAAACAACCAACACGACGTCGTGATGATCCAGATATCCACAAGACTGCAAATATGTGATAAAACTTTAATTTTTAAATAATTATTAAGATAAAAATGATTTTTAAATGAAAGTTTAAAATTAAAATTAACTCCTAAGTCATTAAAAATATTTGTATGTGACAAGTATAAGTTATTCATAAGATTCGGATTTAAATGCCCTACAAATATTAAAAAAATGTACTTATGACCTAAAATCTCTAAAAAAATTAGGAATTTTAGATTATTTTTTTATATTTTCGCCTTTGTTGTCCAACCCCGTCTGCTATGGCATTATCTCGACCTTCGATTGCATAAAAACTGGGTTCAAACAAAGTGTGCATTTTAACGTCAACGTACCTATAGTGATAGTCTATACGGAATGAGTTCGTACCTCGATGGCGACCAGTTTTCGTTCGTGACGGTCAGATGCCACCACGAAAGCTCGTTAGGCTAGCGCTGTGGAACAAAGCCACGCCCATGCGCAGAAATCGGCCGCCGAGGTACGATTTCATTCAGAATAGACTTACATGAACATAATATAAAATTTGTACGCTCCTTTAAATGACATCACTGAGGTATTTTTTACTTTTTAAGTCTATACGTAGTCATTTATGCATACAAGTTTATAATGTAATGTATATTTATTTTTTTTATAAACAAATATTAAAAATACTGAAAATATATAATATTTTAAATTTATAACTATGTATAATATAATATTTAATATATATGTATATAAATAAATAATGAATATTATTAACATTACTGAATTATTACGGTTATATACTACTAAAAATAACATTAAAAACATTTTGTTGTATTTAAAAATTAGAATCAATTAAACAAAAACAAACTAAAATAAAAATAACTTTAGTTATTTGAAATATATATTTGTTTTGTGTAGTTGTATTATAATCTGGAGGATAATGAAGTATCAAAAATTGAGTCGTAGTTAGCTTAAAATTAAATCAAATTTAAAAATTACAATTTAATGTTTTAAAATCACATAATAACACCCGAATGCGTTGCAGCATCTATTTATAACAATATTTTGTATATTATACTTAAATAATAGTTATATTACATCTGTGGAATGAGCAAAAGAAAAAAGACGAAAAGCGAAGCATTGGCGAGACTAAGCATCACACAGTTGATTGGGAGAGTCGACAGACGAAATCGTTCGACTTCCATTTTTTTCGATGGAATTCGAGTGATAAAGAATAGCGAACTGTTATAAATTACACTAGTGTTTGCCAGTTGGTGTTCTGTGGAACCCAAAGGTTCCATGGACCAATGCCAAAGGTTCCGTGAAGAATTAAGGGAAAAATAAATTGAAAAATAATATTTTGATTTGAATTGCAATTCGTACGATGAACGAGAGCTGGCCCTCTTTTTGTTAAGATGGAAAAAGTCCCTGAAAAGGTTCCGTGACTGCAAGATATGTTGGGAAACATTGAATTTGGCTTTCGGACGACGGTATTATACGTTTCTATGGTCTATATTTATACAATATACCTATTCAACTTCCTGCGTTCGCAGGACCGCGTCATTTCGTGTTTTTATCATTGTTGTACTATACATCAAACAAGCATTAAAATGTGTTATTAAAAAAATAATTAATAATAATTAAATCACATGATACTATATAATTCTAATATACAATTTATTATTGGGTATATGACATAATTCATGCTTAATATCTACGATACTTGCTACATAAACGTACGTATATCTAAATAATATAATACTGCCTATATTATAATATTATCACTGTTTTGCGGGGGGGGGGGGCGGGGATTGGAAAGGGGGAGGGGATCGTGCAAATTTGGTATTATAACAATAACCATATAATACATTATTTACCCAAACCTAATTACTATACCGTATAATTATTTTATCAATATAAAATATCATTTATTATTACGTATTTATGATGTAGACACAAAAATAATACAAAGAAGACTGCAGCAATAATTTTATGTTGTTATGTGTTTGATATACGCGCACGGCTATCGTATATATTATTATTACACTTAGACACCCACGTATAACTGGGCACATATGGTTACGAGGATGAGTTTGACTTGACCGTAAACACGCTCGAGAGCGACGTGGGCTGCGCTTCATTGGTCATGGGTAGCGTGCTGGGGCCGTTGTTATGCTTGCCGTCAGTGACGTACCGTTGTTTCTCGCCAGTACACATAGACTTGACTTTTAGGCTCATGGGGTGTAACAGGTCCTCGTTGGCCGATTCTTCTTTGCTCCACAAGTCTGTGTGAAATCACAAACTTTATAAGTTATAAATTATAACAATATAAATAATAATAATAATATTATTTATGCGTTTATGTATAGTAGTAGATACTCTGGCGCATTTCGCTGTTCGTACAAAATCCATCTGAGTTAAATTTAGTTGCCTTATTTAACGCGTAACGCGTGTGATGGATGAATAATATTTTTGGTTTTCTGATTTTGTGTACAGATGATATTTCTGACATATCAACTTTACATATTTATCTCGCTCAGGGCTGCTTTTTTTTGACTATTTAATAGGAGCATTTTTTTGAAAATTTATTAATTTTTAACCATAAGAAAATGTATTTTTTTTTACACCTTTTTAGTATTATATGGTATATTATTGAGTTCAGATGGGGAAAAATCTATGTTTTTTGATATAAAGTTTGCATACTTAACTTTTTCTTAAAATTTTTTAAACATATAAAATCTCAATTTAAATACACTTTATGGTCAATAAACAATGCGGTTTAAACAATAAAGTAAACATTTTTTTATTGGTTTCAATGGCGTTATTAGAAAACAAAAAAAAATAAAATAAAAAAATATAATATTGGCATATTGAGTATATTATTATACTACATATTATTATAGTTGCGTTATTATTGTTCCCCCACTCACTACTATGAAACCGTAAAAAAAAAAATGTTATCTGAGTAATATGTGAGGAATCGAATTTTTTCAGTAGTAACGAATGTTCCTATACAACTAGTCAAATTCTACCAAAGTCATGTTTTTTTTCTGCGGAAGCAGTCGATATTTTTTCAACATCAAACCTCGGCTGTAATGAAATTTCAACTTTGGAACTCATCTGTTAATAAACATGAGGTATGTTTGATTACTTTATTTAATATTATACTGATTATACTGTGCAAATAGCGGATTAATATTATTGTTGTTGGACATTTTATTTTTATTATGTTTATCTGATATTGTGCAATTTAAATTTAATAATATTATATTGTGTAAAAATAATTAATTTTTTTATTTGCAAGCACTGTAAGAATAAAAATAAAATCATAACTGATTTCGTTATTTACTAAAATCGAACAATCATGGAATAGTGAAATAATTATAATAATAAATTATATACAATTTCTATTTCATAATTATGATATGTTCAAAATAGTTCTTCTAATAATCAAGTGTAATCACTAAATTGTTTTAAAAAATCTGACGTTTAACTCACGCGTTAAAGTGAATTTAAATAGAAATTCTATACATTTTTGGTATACATACGTATATATATCTAAATATATTATTGGCTGTACATAGATTAGAAGCATACATAGTGATTCACAAAATGTTTTCAAGAGAAGTAGAAGAAGTACAGTCGATAAAATGTACATCAGCAGAAACACAGATATCACTCGGGTAAAGTATTGATTAAATAATTCAGTTCCGATGTCATTTATGTGCCACTAGGTTACATTTACATAATATGCACTATTTTATTTAATCTAAATAAATCAGCCAATTATGATATGGTATATATATATATATTTTTAATAAAACACTATCGTATGCTACGAATTGTATATATTTAATTACGCAAAAACAATTAATTTCAGAAAGATAAAAAAATAGCATAAATAATTTGAATCTCAAATTTTTTAAATATAATCGTTTAATTAACTTATAAATAGTGCGTAAAAATATTATCAGAAATGAAAAAAAATGCAATCGAAAATAAGTACAAATATTACATCGATGATGTGTTTCCTAACTTTATAAATTAATAGTAGTTTTACATTTAAAATTGACGTAACGTTAAATCGATAGTTAAACGCCACTTTGAAAACTATTAAGTGTGATAAAACTATTTATTTTAAGTTAGATTTACTATTTATGTGGGTGATTGAATTCAAAAGAAATATAATATACAAGAGTGCAAGATAATTTTATAGAGATTGAACATTTTTTATCGAATAAGTATTGGTGTTTTTTGTGGTATATTTTCATAAAATTTTTGTAAATTTGTGTTCCTATTTGGTAAATAAAAAAGTCTCCTAGGTCTCAGATGAGTTCAATCTAAAGATGTGTTGGCAGTGTTGTAATACGATACCTATTTTATTAGTTTTTTACTAAGAACATAAATAAACTATAAAAATGTGTACTTATAACGTATACTAATACTCGTATGTACATACATGATAAAAAATAAGGAAATCAGAATTAATATACATTTTAAATATTTTATGGTTGCATTTAAATGTGACTTCTGATGATAGTGCATTATCTATTTAATAGAACATAACGAAATACGGAGTGATTAAAAAAAAAACTTATCAAAAAACATGCAAATATTTAATTCGTGGAGACTTTGGAATTTATTTTTTTATCATTTTAATTATTTTTTGAACCAACTACATAATTATATTGGTTGTTTGAATTTATCCCATAATACATATCCGAGAAAATATAGAATGTTCAATGTGTAATGGGAAAAATAATGTATACTTGGATACCGACTGTGTCTTGAGTCTTTGAGTCTTAAATTCGGTAAGTTATATTTTATCTTAAAATTATGTTTAAACGCGCGAGGAAATAATTCAATATTATTAATCCTATCAATATTTTATGATTAAGTGCACTGTTAGAAACGAACGTCTTCGTGTAAAAAATAGCAAGTCCGGCGATCTCGGGGCTTATTTTAGAAACATTCCAATAATGATATGTAATACCTAAGTTTTTACCTATTTTTATAACATTAAATTTATTTCATTGTTACCAACAGATAACTAAACAATTCCAATAGTGACTTGTAGGTACTATTTATTAGTATCTGCATGTAAATCAAACTATATCTATACTACTATCATACACTAATTAGGTATGTGAGATTAAAACATTTTTTCACGTTTGTGATTACTTATATTAATGAGAAATAATTTTTGACATGACGCAACTGTTAAAAACGAATCAAATTATACAACACAAAATTGTGGGAAATTATGTTGTGTGTTGTAGATACCTTTCAAGAGTATTTTTATATTGTGAATTTAATTTTAATATGTATTATTTACATTATAACATAATATTATTATGTAATGTGGCGTAGTTACTAGTTATTTATTAAAATAGTTATTTGGATGTGATCATATTTATTATAAACTAAGGTACGTTTATAGTGAATTTGAGGTCAAAGTTTCGAAGTGACTAAGAATATACTTTGGGAAACACTTGATTCAGAAATACACGTGATAAGACCAATACACACAAAGCTTTATCATTTGTGTATTTAGATTACACAATAGTATACACTATACAAAGAATATAACTGTCTCCAACGCCATCGCATAATGTTCGGACAAAAGAGGTAAGATTATCGTTTTATAACAATTTAAATAAATTGTACAATAATTAAAATAATTTATGTTAATTAAATTAAATCGTATATAGCGGAATATATCAAATAATTGAAATATTTATTTCATATATTAATTTTTTATAGTAATAATTATTAGTTAATATTATTTAAAAATCATGACAACTTGAAATTTTGAATCATCCAAATTAATTTTTAGTTCAAGTTTACTAATAATTATATAAAAAATATGGGTTGTTAAAGGTTATTATTTTCTGATGGACATAAATTAAACTATAGACTTTGTTATTCTATATAATTATTAAATACATTTTGCATTGGGTATAACAAATTATAATGTTTAAAGTTTAAAACTCATATACTATAAAAATAAAAATTATTTTTTTTGAAATTGTATATATATTAATAAATAAAAATAAAAACAAATTATTTAATTCAATAAAAAAATATTATTTTTGTAAGACAATCTAATGACATTTTATTTGTGCATTATTATTACCGTATATCCTGTCATTATCATTTGTTTAGTTTCACAAACATAATTTATTTTTTTAAATTAAAAAAAAATCAAATGTTTAGTAATTTATTATCTTAAATTTTGAAATATTGTATTTTGAAACAATCCGTAATAGATAATATACTAGAAAATATAAATTTCAATTATTTAATTTATTTAATAATTAAAATTATTTTAATTCATATTTTTATATTAAATATTTTAATCTGTTGTTTTATTGATTTAATTTTAAGACATATGCAGGGACATTTTTTTTAACAGTGAACCACTCATTTTATTAGTTATTTTTTATGTTTTTTTAAAAATGTTGTTTCGTAATTGGAATAACTCTCTTAAAAAAAAAAACAAAACAAAAAAAAACACTTTTTTAATGACAATAAATGATATTATTTTAAAAATGTTGATATGTAAAAGAGTAGTCACTGGAATGTGTGGTATAATAATGCACTCATCATAGTATGAAATATTAAACTAATAACTAAAAATATGTATTTAATGTTTTATTTTTAAACACCAATATTTTAATAGAAAATACTACTGTAGAATATTAAATGAAACCATTAGTTGTCATTAAAAAGAAAAAACTTCTTAAATAGAATTAACTATGTTTTTGTAAGAAAAAAATGATATGGTATTATTAGTGTTCACTGTTAAGTAATTAGTAATTACGTTGTTTAATATTCTATAGAGTTACCATAGTCAATAGCATAAACAGTTAAATGCAATCTATAGGATATGACATAGTACTATGTATTTGTATGTTTACAGCACTTTTTAGCAGGGAGATTAAAAAAGTTTAAGGAGAAATATCTGTCTCAAGACTATAGTTTTCCCTGTGTACTCGTATGATAAAAAAACAGCGATTTTCAAAAACCATAATGAATTTTCACAGCACTTTTTAGCAGGAAGATTAAAAAAGTTTAAGGGGAAATATTCCGGTTAAGCCCATTTTATTTCTGTGTACAAATTTTCAAAAATCATAATATATGTTTACAGCATTTAAAAAAAATATATTTCACCTTGTGTAACACAAAGTCTGATAATTTTAAAATTACGTCTTTATGCAAACCTTAAAAAAAAAAAATTGTTTTGAGTTAAAAAAAAAAATACGGTTTGATTAAATAAAAAAATATATTAATATCAGTTAATTTATTTAATATATTTGAAAATTTTAAAACATTAAATGTAGTGGTAATATTAAATATCATGGTTTTTGAAAATTACTGTTTTTTTTTGTGTAAAAATATGGGGTTTAGGGTAATATTTCTGCTTAAACTTTTTAAATCTCCCTGTTAAAAAGTGCTGTGAGTATACAAATACATACTACTTGATATACTCATATCAACAAATATATTAGAACTCACATATATAGCTGGAAGTAATATAGTATAAGATTATTTATTATTTTGAAATGTAATAATAGTAATATTGTAAATTGTAATAACTAACTAAATTTACAGCATAATTAATTTATAGTGTTTAATTAGATTAGAATATATATATTATACATCGTATTTACTTTTATTGAGAAAAAATTAATGAGCAACACAAGTACAATTTTGGGCATGAGAGGTATTAAGCTTATCATATCTAAACAAAGTTGGTTTTATTTAGCATCAATTTAAGTATATTTTTTTAAACTAAATTATCTATGAACAAGTTGCGAAGACTATAGAATTAAAATAACAAAGAAATAAAAAAAAAAAAACCAAAAAGTAAAAATTAACGTTCTTATAGTTTTAAATAGAGCATTATTTTATACTAGTAATATTAAATGGTATAGTAAAGTGTAAAACTGAAAGTTTATATATGATAAAGCTTCATAGTTTAGTTATTTGATAAAATAATATATTTATATTTGTAATTATTTATATATAAACTAAGTAGAATCTGAGAAAATGTATAGTTTTGTAAAAAATTTTATGATAGACAAAGATCATAAGAAGTTGGTAAGTAAAACTTTCCTGAATTGTGAATGTATAAATACGGTATATATAATACATTATAAATAACTGTTTCAAAAGTGGAATTTTATTTTGTAATAAAATGTATGAAAAAAAAAATCATATAAAATATATATTCTCACATTATACTGTTTTTGGTCAAAAATTGATTAATTTTAAATTTCAATGGTTGATTAAAAAATAGTATACAGTATATATACTTTTTTAAATACGATTTGAACGAGGACATTTTTTTAACGATTAATAAATATTATTTAGCAAAATTAAAAACAATTTATATTATGTTTATTTTTTACATATTATAATTTTATTTAAAAAAAGAACAATGTGAAAAAAAGGGCAAGACAAGAAAAATGCAATAGCGCCTTCTTATATTCATGTGCCCTTTATCATAATTTACAACTTAAAATATTTTATAATTATTTTCTAGGTAGTTAATCATGTATTTTAAAGTCTCATTAATTTAAGAGAAATTTATAGTTGATATAAGTTAATAATTTAAGATGTAGTCATTACAAACAAAACTATCTATCATTTAAAAGATCACAACCTTTTATTGTTATTTATAATATTAAATAATAGATATCTATTGTTCTTTCTAGTTTTTGCATAAATATTATCTATTATTTCATAAGTACTAAACGAGTTGATGAGTAACATGTTTTTCAAATATTTAAATTAATCACGTACATATTTTTATCTAAATATTCGTGTGTTTATAATTAATATTCACTCTACCAGTAAACTATGGAGGTTTTTCTAAATATAGTAGTAATATAATATTTGTATTTAATATAGTTGGTACTAAATATCACTTCCTAAAATTAATAACTATGGAAAAATATTATGTAAAAAGTGATTAATAATTGTAAGAGTAAAAATGAAATTACTAAATTAAAAAAAAAAAGAAAAAAAAGAAAGAATAGTAAACGATTTTTTGAAACGTTTCAAATAATTTAATTTTTTAAAATAAGGAGAAACTGAGTAGTTGTTTATTTTCAGAACTGAGACAGAAAAAAGTATTGATTTTTAGTTTAATATAAAATTAACATTCAAAATTTTTAAATTTCCAGAAAAATGTTTGAAATCCTTTTTAAAACTGAAACCGAATCAAATAGAATTGCATATTATATTATTTTACACATTTAAAGAAAATTTATAAAATCCAACCTCTATATCCTATGATGAAGGGCGCGTATAACACAGTTTTATATTCAAACAAATAATCGATACATACGTATATATTATACGTGGTATGGCTTTTAAAACAATGTTACATTAATATTCTGTTCAACAATTATTATTTTTATTGTCATACATAGTATATAAGTATATATTTAATAAAAGATATTATTATTTGTTACAAAAAAAAATATTTTTATAATTATCAAATTTTCATTGCTCAGAGGACGACTTAGTTTAAACAGCTCTTAAACTGGTATTACATATTTAATTTATCAAATAATACTTTAATAACTATATAACAATTAATACAAAAAACACATTTATCAGACTTTTGTAAAACAATTATATTGAATTTTTTTAATATATTTATTGCCATTTCATATTAATGTGTATTCTAGTATGTTTTACTTAATTTATTGACGGAGTTAAATATAAATAGTATATAATAAGTATGAATTATAAAAAAAATTATAAATAAAATAGATTATTTAGCGTAAGTATTTAAGATTATTTATTGTTTTGAATAAATAATAGGTAAATTGATTTTATAGTGGTAAATGTTTTTTTTAGCCATGTCATCTAAATGGTTAAAGATAATATTAGATTTTTGCAGTAATTCTACACATAAAGAAAATACATCAACCATATTAAAGGAAAAATAGAAAAATATTAATTAAACACTCGGTTTTGATATGTTTATATTTTTTACGTGAATTTTATAATTTTTTTAATTTGATAATTTGTTCAATTGAATTTTTTTAAACTTATCATTATTAAGTTTCAAAAACTGAAACTGTTTGAAAGGATTTTTTCATGAAATTTAATAAAAATTGATTAATATTTACTGTTTTTACTAATGTCGTTTTTAATACACTATTAGTATATATTATTTATAATGTCTATTATTTAGACTTAAATTTACTTGTACAAAGTTTGTTTAACTTTTAAAATTACTTACACAAATATTGTGGTAATTTCAGTTATACTTTTAGGAATTGTTTTTCAAAAATAATTCATATTTTATAATAATTATAATTAATTTACCACTAAACCTTACGAAGAACCAAAATTTGATTTCTACATAATATCTTGAGTATTAGGTATTAATTTTTTTAAACTTAAAAATGTTTGTTACTTTGAGTTTTGACTAATTTTAATTTATTTAAAATTTATCTAATTTAAATAATACAATGATTAATTAAACGATTATTTAGACCAACAGATATAAATAATTATTAATATTTAAAGTGTGAAGTCATTTTTAAAATAAATGTTATCATGTACTCAAAATTATAATAAGATAATAATAATTATACACTTGAGTTAATAAATACACATATAATAATATACTTAAAGCCATATTATATCGTACCTAATATCGAATCATAAAAATAAAATAAAACTT